TGTGTCTACACACACACACACACACACACGCACACTCTAACAGAAAAATACATAATGTAGAAATATTTAACAGCTTTTGTCTGCCATTTCAAGCTGCAACTGACAACTAAAAAATTATTTATGTGTGTGTGTGTATATATATATGTATATGTATGTATATTTCTATATATCAGTTTCTTGGCAGTAGTTTTTTATTATTTATTTATTTGTTTTGTTGTCTGGTTGTAATTGAACATTGTTCAAATAAAATGAATGAATTGTTTTTATAGGATTGAAATCATGACGTATGCGAATTACAGTTATTTCTCTCTACGAACAAAATGACAGCAACTTGTAAATGTGTTAAATGCTAAATGCTCTGTTGTCGGACAAATGCTGTTTGCGCCGATGAACTATTGATGATCCATAATTATTGAAATCAATTTGTTGTCTGCTTAATTTATTGACTATTGTTTATTATTTGCATAGCTTGCCATGGCTCATCAATGTTTTTTGTATTTAAATCTAATTAAGGTGCTTCAGCTTTAAATCAAATTAATGCTTTAAGTTTTGCTCGTTCTCTTATAAATAATTTGGTCTGGCAACGCTCGCAATTCAATTGCAGCCAACCGAAAATTTTGTTACGCATTTCTTTCATTCTAATTTTTTTCACGCTTCTCAACACTCATGTGTAAATTGGACTGCGTCAGTCAGCCTCTCTGTTTGTTTGTCTGTCTGTCGTTTGTCGCCGCTGTGGCAGTTGCATGTTTAATTGCAACTAGAAACAACAACAATAAAAAAACGACACAGTTTGTTGTTTTGTTTGACTGCTTCTCTGTTTGTCCGTTAGCCCGTTTCACCCGTTTCGCAAGGCTTCCTGCAATTTGCGCGCTGGCAACGCTTCCTATTAAGCGAGCAAAAGCGCAGTTTGCAGCGCAGTCTCAGTCGACTGCAGCAGCGCTGCTTCCATTTTATACCCATTGAAAATGGATAAAAAGGGTACATTTTGTATGTCCACATTTTTGTAACGGGCAAAAGGATTTTATATTATATATATTCCCGAATAGCATCAACAGCCATCGATATATCTTTTGGTTTTTTTCTTTCTTAATAGTTTGTTGCTATATGAATTAATTTATAATTGTTTACCGTTGATTATTATATATTATAAAAAATAAAAATATAATATATTTAACAGCTAAATGCAGGGTATAGCGTTGTCTAGCCCTCTCACTCGTCTGCAGCATTCTAACATGATGACACACAGAATTTTGCATGTGTGTGTGTGTGATGCATTTGTCACTTATCCCTTAAAAATAACACCTGCAACTGCAACTAACTGTAAAATGTTCTTGCAACATTTGCAACTGTGTGTCGCCGGCCATTTTGTTAGCTTTCTCTCTTCTTCTTCCTGTTTGCATACCCTGCAAAAATACCCAAAAGAGGTATATTAATAAATGATACATATATTATTTATAATAGTAAAAGTTGTATTAATATTTGTTAGGCACAGAAGTAATTTTTAATTGTATATTAATAAAATTAGACAGTGGTGGAAAATAGATAAGTTGAAAGATGCGAGAAAATTAAATTTAAGGAGAGAAATAGCAAATCAAATCTACACTAATACAGGGTACCTAGTCACGAACTCTCCACTAGATCATTTACAACAATAAGGTGGCAACACTGACACCAGCTCCAATTACAACAACAACAACACGAACCAGCTGTAATTTGGCCACCTTTGAGCTGAGTGTTTGTATTGGTCTTCAAATAACAAGCAGGGAGAACGAGAGAGAGAGAGGGAGAGAGAAAGAGAGAGAGAGAGTGAGAGAGCGAGAGAAAGAGAGAGACAGAGCAGCATATTTGAAGCTGGCAACACAATTTCAAGTGACTAAAAATTGTACAGCTTGTTGAAGCGTTGCCAGCTTAAACAAATGCAGCAATTAAAATTCTCAACTCTTTTAAAATTTATCTATAGTCATTTGTAATATGCACAACCAAAAGTTGAAAGTTTGGCCTATCGATGAATAAGAACATGAGTTTAATTCGTATATATTCTTATTTATATATATGGATACATATATAGAAAGCAGATAGGTATCTTTCTGTTTCTTGCTTTTTGCAATGTTCACTCACACGAAATAGCAAACAAATGGCAAAGTTAAATTTGAAAATAATAGAAAAACTTTTCACAACAACAACTGTAAGTATAAACAACAACAACAATAACAATAACAATAATGCAACTGAAGTGAAACTATTTCGAGTGAAATAAATCTGTTAGAATGTGCAAAAACAACGCCAGCAGTTTTTCCACAAGAGGGGAGAAGGGGCGGGAGTGGGGTACACCTTATGGGGTGCATTTGGTTGAGAGGGTGCAGTGGGGGAAGGGGCTGGAATTGGGGGTTGGCATCGGTTTTATTGCCAAACGTGTTTGTTGCTCAATTTAACTAAAAGTGCTGGCTTCGTTTTGTCTGTCGACAAAAGCAAATATAAAAATATATTGAACGGCAACCTATGCAACATATACGCAAAGTGTGATAGACTATGCATATACCCTGGAAAGTCTTACTGAAATTTACAGCTGAAGGCTGAAAAAATATAAGTAATTGTTTAAAATCAACTTTCAAAATAAAAACAGAGTCTGCCAGTAGTAAATCGGTTTACTTCTCAAGAGATCGTAAATCAATGAATGTTTCCATATATTTATTAATGTATTTATTTTATATCAACAACTAATCTAACCGATTATGGCGATTATTGAATACACAGAATAACAAACTGTAACTATTTGGTTATTGAACTGGTTGTCATTTAAGCGAGCCCAAGTAATATTTATCATCAGATATGTAAATAAATATATTTATAATATATATACCATATAAAGTTTGGGGTGTTTGGCTTGACCCGTTTTCATTCGATTCGTTTTGTTTTATATTTTTTATGCATTTTTGATTTGAAATCGATGCATAAATCATAAATGGTGTCATTGTCGGTTAGCTGCCGGCATTTATGGCCCTCAGCCGAAATACATACATACCAGTTATAGATATATAAATATATATTTATATATATTTTTATTGTTGGTTTTTATTTGCTGCGGCTTTTAAGCATGGACAGCAAAATAAAAAATATATATGCAATGAATATGCAAGCAGCAGGAAACAAACAAAAAAATGTCAACAATCAGCGCCCGGTTCCGAAAGATCGTCAACTTTTTGTGATGTAATCTAGAGATAAAGGGAAGAGGTGGGGATAGAGGGAAGGGTGGGTGGGGGGAGTTGCTTGTGGTAGGTGGCAGGTTACATTTAGCATGGCCAATTGCCTGGCAGGTGACGTGCCACTTGACAATTGCTACGTTTTCGATTTGGCCAAAAAGTGGCAAGGAGCGAAACAAGCAACAAACAACAACAACAAGTAACAAGCAACAACAACAACAAGGAGGCAACATTAAGGGTCTGACATCAGCAAGGTGACGGGCACGCCCATTTAGACCCGGGTTTGTGCCCGGTTCAACGCCCCCGCAGCGAGCGACGACGTTTACGTGACTTGTTTCATAAACAAACAGCAGGCAAAAAATGCACGGAAATTGTCAGCAATACACTAAGAAAAATAATCGCTAATCCTCAGCTGAACTTACTTTTTTAGGAATACAAATACAAAAATTGTTCTTCGCTAATTAAAAATGGACAATAGAAAACAAATAAGCAAATTCCCTTGTTAAATTTAAAAGTATTTTTTCGCATATTCAAAAAATAAATAAAATTGCAAACATTTAAAAAAGTATATATTGTAAAATGGTCTTTATAATTTTAAGAAATTGTTCTCGTTCTTAATTATTAAAACAAAATAACAGAAGAATTTTCAATGCAAGCAGATTTTGTGTAAGTGCAGAGAGAGAGAGAGAGAGAGGAGATCAACGGGACATGCCACATTGACAATGCCAGCGGCACAGGTGTCTCTCTGACTGGCTGTGTGTGTTTGTTTGCGTATGTGAGTGTGTGTGTGTGTGTGTTTGTGTGTGTGTCGAGCAAAGTTGCTTGCTGGCAATTTGCACTTTTGCATACAAGTTGGTAATTGTTTCCGCCAAATGCTGCAGCTGTGCTCGCCACACACACATGACTGACTCTGAGTCCGTCTCTGAGGCTGACTGTGTTTCTGACTGAGTGCAATTATGACCGCGAGCCTATTTTAATCATTCAAAAGTCAAGTTGCCATATCGAGCCATCAGATTTTTGGTGGACAGCTGGGTCCATTTCGGATCCTGCTTCGACTTCTGATTCAGTTGCTGCTGTTCCTGCTGATGTCGTTTATCCAACCAAGTTGTACAGCAATTTCAGCGTACATTGCTTTCAGCTCTAAATGAGACATGAAAAGACACGAAACTTTTCTCATTATGCCGTACACACACACACACACACACACACCTACACACGGACTGAGCTTAAGCCACTTATGGACGCCCAAAAGCAAAAGTGCCAGATTGGAGGCAGAAAACTGAGTGCTGCAAGTGCAGCCGGCTTACACTCAGCAAAAAAATGCATCTTAGAATCCAATTTTAAAAATAAAATTTTCTCAAAATTAGAATTGCGTTTTTCTTTTACATAAATTGGCTCTCTTGATTAAAATACTTTTATTTATTTACTTTTGTTATAATGAATTAAATATTCCATTCAATAATATATTTAATATTATTTGTTAGTTTTTTCTTAATGGAATACATTCAGAATTATGTAAGAATGAATAAAGAAAGACGCTGTAAGCTATATTTTTTACGAGTGTGGGAGAGGAAGCACCTCTCCATCTTCATCTGCCTATAATATATATGGACAGGTGAGGCAGTCACTGGCAGCCAAGTTTTGTGCCAGCAATTTGCGCGTCAAGGCAAAACTTTGAATGCATATTCAACATCATTAGAAAGTCAGGGACAAAGTAGCTGCTGCTGCTGCTGCTGCTGCTGCTGCTGCTGCTGCTGGCTATAACTTATGAGAAGAGAGCAAGGAGAGGCAACAGGGCAAAGAGTTTATGCACTTTAATGAGTGTGGGATAAAAGCACCCAAAAGGCTAAGCACACACAAATACACACAGGCACACACACATTCCCACACACACTGGCACACTCTACATGAGTTGGCAGGGACAACAGCGTCCTCTTGGCCCCGATGCAGCATCGGGATCCACATCGCTGCCAGATCGTTCCTTCAGCGACAATTGTTCCAGGTGCTGTGAGGATTCCATGTGAATCGATTGGGTTTCGAATTGATTGAAGCTCTCGCTCCAAATGGCATCGTGACGTGGTCCATACGAGATATCCTCCTCCAAGTTGTTGTTGCTGCTCCAGCGAGTGTAGTTCACTACTAGGATATGGATACAAATTGTGATTGATAAGTGTGATTGATAGATGATAGAGCGATCTCTACTCACACTCATCGAATATTTTGGTGGCCAGCAAATGACTGGACAAACTGGGCACAAACTCGGCTGCTTCGGGATTCAAACGGGATTTGGCCAGAGTGCGACTGCCGCTCGGCTGCAAAGAGATCTCATCCTCATTCTCATCGTCCTTCAAAGTTTGATTCACTTCCATTGTGGTTATTTTATCAATCACTTCGGATTGTTGCGTAATCTTTTTATTTTGTAATAATTTCTATTCGATTTGCAATTCTACAATACACATTTCAACTAGTCTGAAAGCTTAGGAGAAATGACACTCAATTCAAAATAGTTGTGACTATATTATTTGTCGTAGAGAGAAATATCAGAACCTGTTTGTGTTTAATTATTTATATATTTAGTATAAACTAAGGTATTTATTTCAAATTTATTTGAAAAGCTAAAGATTAATAATAAATTTATAAATAAGTATGTTTAAAGTATTTATTTCAAAAATTGATTGACATTGTTATTTCAACAACTCTCTGGATTTGATATACCAAAACAGCATGTATATTTAAATATACAGATATATTTATACCATATAGATAACGATGTTGCCACATGCTGCAGGTGAATGGAATTGGAAATTGTGCAGCTCAGCAATTATATTGGTGGCATCGTGTTCATTGTCTGCTTCATTGTTCGCAGCTCCACTAAATAATATTCTATTGTAAGGCTACAAAATCAAACACATATTTAGATATATATATATATATATATATATGTATATATATAGGTATACATATATAAAAAGAGGAATAATACTGGTACAACCTCAACTCGTTCCCCGCGTAGCTTGTTTAAATGCTTTTGTGATATTTGAGCAGCTTTTTCGTTGGCTGTTTGGCAGGTGCCACGCCCCCGCTGTCCGCCTCCCATCAAATGTAAACAGCAAGAGTATTGTTGTACGTATTGTTGCAAGCAACAACACACAGCATAAAATAAAAATGCCGTGAGTCAGGACTTGCCAAATATTTTGCGAAAACCAAATAAATCCATTTCAATACCAGAACCGAATGCAAAAATCTGCCAAAAAATCCCATTCGCAACGATATAAAAAAAATAAATGAAAACGCTGTGAAGCTGAGCTGCGGCACAGTTTGAGTATTAGTGGATTACAGAGAGAAAGGGAGAGAAAGAGAGAGAAGGAGAGAGAGAGAGAGTGCTAGCCGAAACCGCATAAACAAAAACAGGGCAAATAAATCAATGTAAACAATCCACAACAGTTGTCGATAAATTGAAATTTGAAATGCAACCCTGCAGTTCTGGTTTTATTTTTATTTTTTGAAAATCTCCCTTGTATCTTGTATCTTTGACGTTGCTTTAGCTATGGAAACATGTGCCACAAATGAAAATCCGTCTCTCTCATATGCAATTTTGGCAACAACTCAAGAGACGGCAATTAGACAAAATAAATCTAACCAGCTCAGCACAAAAGGCGATAATTGACAAGAGATGATTATGCTGTATTTAGAGAATTCTATACTCAACCTTATTGAAAGTATACTTTTCAACCATATTTGAGCTCAGCTTTATTTTTCTTATTTATTTTTATTAATATCAAACTGAGCAAAATAGCAGTTACAAGCTGAAAAATCTGCAATCGAAAACCTAAATATATACGATATACATCGCTTTGTGATTTATTATTAATTTATTTTGTTTTCTTGTACCTATTTAAAAAGAAGACTTGAGCTTGCTAAGTTAATATTAATAATAATATAATTCGCTTATTTCTTGCTTAGCTTTGACTGCATTTTTTAATACTTTTCAATTTCAATCGCCTCGTGATTCATTATTTAATTTTGTTTATTTTAAATGCAGATTTTAATATAAACTTTATATCTTTCTTAGTTTTTTCTTTCTTTTCTTTCAACCCTTGTTATTTGTCTTATTATTATTTTATTTATTTTTAAAAGAAACTTTAATATGAACTTTATTGCTTGCTTAGTTTTTACTTATTTTCTATCAAATTTTTGTTGTCAAAATTTCATTTCATGCACAGCAACTCTTTTGTGTTAAAGTCGTTGATTTCGGGTGCTTTTGTGTGTGGCATCAAGTGACACGTGTCATGTGGCACTGCAGCAGCCGCAGACATTCAGTGGGGGTGGCAGGGGGTTGGGGGTGCGTGGATGCTGCTTTGAGAAATGAAGTCGAGTAAAATGAACTGAGCAACGGACAAACAAAGCACTGCTGAAATTCAGTGCGACTTTCAGGTTTCAGTTATCAGCAGCAGCATGAGGCAGACTGGCACTGTGTGGCATGTTCCAAGTGGCATGTCCAAGTGGCATGTTAACGTTGTCCGCTTGTCCCATGGACTGGGCTGGGCTGCGTTGCCATTTCACACCGCGTACATTTTATGTACTGTGAAATCTTTGGAAAGTTACGCAATAAAATAAAGTAATTAAAAACCACCGCAATTTCGACAGCCCAAGAGAATTGGCTAATCTGCAATTGGGCTGCTTTCTTATTCTCCTCCTTTTATTGGGCAGTTGCATGTGAAACAACATACAAAAAATACACCATTTTTATGATGGAATTACAAAATTTTAATGTTTGCTTGTTTGTAATTAAATTTGCTTTTGTGTTGATGTTTTGTCATTGCTGTTGTTGTCGCTGTTGTGTTTATAGTGACTTTTGCTATTTTATGTGTGACTTTTATGGTCGTGACACGTGAGCTATTTTTATGACCTTGAAACGGAAGCAGTTTCTGTTTTTGTTGTTGTCCTTTTTAAACTTTTTAATCACGCAAATGCGACTTGTTTTTGGGGTTGGGTGTTGACTGAAAGCTAGTGAAATTTTAATTAAAATAAATTGCCGCCAAATTGGCTGCATTGTTGTCTTTGTCCCACTATAAACATTGCCGTAATGGCTGCCAAATTAAATGTAATTGCCATTGATTGCTGCTTAGACAAAGTGCTCTTTACAATCAATTTTTTCAAACGATAAATGGGCCAGTTCAATGCAGCTAAGGTTTGCTCAACACTCTTTCGACCATCTATAAAGAAAAAACCAAACAGAAAAATGTTGTTATAAATTAGTAAGGCCGAGTTATTCATTCATTGCAGCTTAGACAAACTGCTTTTCAAAATTGCTGGATAAATGAGTCAATTCAATGCAGCTAAAGTTGGCCACCAAGCGCTGCTCAACACTGTTTCGACTCTTTGAAAAGTTTGCTGACACTGGCCAACTTATTCACAGAATCAACATTTGTATTGGTAAATTCTGTAGTCGACACTCGCTTTTCTCTTTGTCAATTCAGACAAACTTAAGAGAATCACTGGCTGCAAAAAGTAAACGGCCGTAAACTGTCTGAAGTGATTCCAAACTTTTCGTCCAACAATAAGTTAAGCTTGTCGCTGTCTTCGCCTCTTTCTCTGTTTGCCACACAATTGTCGCGACATCCATCAATGAATGGCAATAAAGCCGAAATATCCAATTTGTATATATAAACATGTATCGGGATATATATGGTCGTAAACAGAGACAAATGCATTTGCAATTGCCTTTTGCGAAATGCTCGGGAGACCTCTCTGCAATTTCCGGCCAAAATGAGCTCTGCTAATGGCTCGAACATTTCAAATATTTACATTGAGACTGGAATTGCAGACAGATATTGAACAATAAGCAGTCAATTAGAGGCTAAGAAGCTACCTGACTAAACTAAACTAGAAAAAAGTATACCTGTATAAATTCTCTATAAATAACTTATAACTATTATTAACTAACTTAATTTTTTTTCCTATTCGGGCTGTAAGTCAAATTCTAATATAGAAGCCGAGTCAGTAAATTTCATTTCGTGTTTTGGAATTATCAATTAAACTATTATTTTTTGTATATATGTGAATATATATGCACATTTCAAAGGAATAGAAAAAAAAAAACATATTTTTGGGATCTTCGATTTAAGGCAAGCTTTTCTATTGTTTAGATTTTATTTTTCAAATAATTATAAACTATTTCTGGAGATGCTGTCGTGACAAATAAGTAGAAGGAAGATATGTCGACTTTAGGATCGACACACATATGCCAGATTTGGATTGACAAGTCTAAATGAAGTACAAAGATTCTTTATTCTCATTATTCTTTCTCCCTTCCTTCTAAACACTGAGCCTCACATCAGATGTAGCATAAATGAAAGTCCACTTGCTCAAGTGGGTAGAAGGAGTTGTTTTTCTCCTCTTAGCCAACCTCACCCTAAACTAACCTTATGCAATTAAAAGTAACTAGGCTTGATTTCACTCAAGCCATCATCTTGCTCGATTTACCCATCACTTTGAGCTCTGAATTGATTTTAAAATGATGCAATTATAACTAATTGCTTGCTAAATAATGCATTTGCAGGGAGACAAATAGTAAAAACTCATTTCACAAACGATGGCAAGGAAATCAATGTGAGCTCAATTATGGATATGCATATTTGATGCATGTATGCATTTTCTTCATTTCTGACCTTCGCTGTGTAATTGGTCCTTGGCACCGTTTAATAAAATTATTAAAAGAGAATCCAGCTTTTCTTTTTGCAGTCTTCGCTGAGACGGAAACGAAACCAATAAGTGAAATGTAAATCAACAGAATGAAAATGACATTCAAATTATTGTCAGTCGTGGCGTGAAGGCAAGGAAAGCGGCCAGATTATTAAATCCTTACATGACAATCGACAATCGACAAGTGTAACAAGCGACAACAACAGCAAAGACTACAAAGACAACAATGACAACAATGACAACATGAACATCCTTCAGCTCATGGCGTCGACAGCACTGTCAGCCAGAATTTCGCGCTCGCCAGCAGCTCAACTTGTTGTCAGGCTGTCGAAGGATGCCGTGAATACCACTGAAAGTCCTTCTTAGTCCTCTCTCTATGTCTGTCTGTCTGCCTGTCTGTCTCTCTATGTGTGCAGTTCATATGTGTGCTCAGTGGCAATTATGATTTCTTTCTGTCTTTCACTTCTTTTTTGCGCCCTTTTCAATTAAACCCAATTATTGTTATGTAAATTTTCACAGGTGTCACTCAATTGCCTGACCTATACGCCCTTGCCTGGCCGTGCCCTCTTTTTGTTTTTTAATTTCTAATTGGCCTTCTTTGTCTTGTGTGGCTTTAAGTCGACAGTTGCATGCTAAATTATTATTTTATTGAACCAAAATGATTATACTCTATTAAATCTGGTATTCACATTAAGT